CAAACAATTATTCACAATGTTTGTATTAACTTTTTCCTCATTAATTCTATGTTGTGAGCACTTAAAAATATTCCACGCCGCTGCGACCGCTAGACGCATCACAACAGATGAGTCGCTACCGTGATGACCACTATCTCTGTTTAACACCTTGCTTGAGGCTACCGGAAAACCGCTGGCCTTTGAATTATGCTCGGTTGCGGATAAAGTTGGAAACTTGGGTGTATGAAACTATAAACAACAATGTTTGATGTATCTACTCTAATACCCACTTTATATCCACCATGTTTGTGAATGTTTTTTTTGTCTGTGAACGTGGTTCACATGCAATATTTTGTTTGTGCAAAATATTGTCTGTGAATCGGAGTTCATAGACAAAAAAACATTTCACAAACATAGGTGAGTACAAAAGTGGGTATAAAAGTAAGTACAAAGATCATTTTTGAACTAGAAAGTAGTTTCCCTTCTACTATGTCTATTCATTGACATGATGGAAGCAAAAGAAACTGGCGAACTGTAATATCTGCCAACTCTAATGTCTGCCAAGCTCCAAAAGTGATGAATGGATTAATTAATTATCAGAAGCCTATAATAATATACTAGTACTCCGTAATTATTATGAACACAAGTCAAATGCACAAGGACAACAAAAAAAAAAAAAGGACAAATGCACAAGGACAACAAGACTACACCAGATTGGCCTTTGGTGCTAGCCCAACTGCGCAAGACATTACTTCAGCTACAGAACAATGTTGGAGTTTCCATTTGATTCTATTTCAATCTTTTGACAACTTTATTTATTGTTAATCTTTCTATATGATCCATCAAAAAAAATCTTTGTGTATGGTATACTCCGTATATAAACATAATACGTAATACTCCTTTCGTCCCTAATAACTTTGACAAGTTTGACCGACACGAAAATTAATAAAGTAAAAACCGTGTGATTGAGATATCTGCAGAGAAGAGAGGATTAACAAGAACCACAATTTCTTTACTCAAATGAGAAAGTGACAAAATTAATGGGACATCCAAAAAAGGAAAGTTGACAAAGTTACAAGAGAGGGAGGGAATACAAACCTAAATATTCTTTATTATTTGCCTTAAACTGTTTTTGCTCAAAAACAATTAAAAAAAGTTAATTCCAACTTCCAATTCAAATATCAGCTAAAAATTCAATCAAGAAGACACTTAAATAAATTACTTTACAAAAATTGTGCTTTATTCAACCCGGAGGTAGTATTATAGAATATATTCCACCTTTGATCGTAACGAGTTTTATGTCGATTACACATTTAGTCTAATTTCATTGCCTTACACTTTGTCCACTTTGATACATGACTACTGTGTTTTCGCCCATATATGATCCTTCAGACAATATTTTTGGTAGTTAAAATCGACGGAGAATGACCACAAATGGTTAACCAAACATTGGTCAATTATCCAAAATGAACAAAGTGAAAGACGTGGACTAAATGTTGAATTGACATAAAACTAGTAGGACCAAAAATGGAATTAATTTTATTATTATATGCACTAATTAGCTTACTGCTCCATATTATTATCCAAAGTCTAATCTAACCGAGTAAGTTATGTCGCCTAACATGTCTTTTTTAAGATTGTTGTGATATACTCCCTAATTTTTTCATTTGTGACTGAAATAATAACCCCAATATATAATAGCAATAAAAATAATAATTTATAAAGATAATAATAATAATGTTTAATGGGGGATTAGGGATACTGTTGACATGGTGAACATGATGCAATGTCGTATTAAAATCCATTCATTTGGGAGCCATTTTCCCTTTGGCAATACTGAAGTGGGCATACATCCAACATACAAGACGTCAAACATTCTCAATTCGAAACTCTGCTTTTATTTCCTTGGCTCTTATCTACAGATCACTCGTCCATCCATCATTCATGCATGCATCACGTGTTCTTTCAATAGATATTATTATCTCCCTCGTATAATTAAATCCTGTTTTAATGTTACATGAAGATTGAGAAAAATAAATTATGTCCAAAATTTATGTTGAGGCTAGACCACAAAAAAAGAATGAAATTTGTTTCACAACAAAGAAAATATCGTTTACTTTTATAAAACACACACTCCGTATAAAAAGCCAAGAAGGGGTACTAAATTATATACTCCGTAAATTATTACGAACACGGCACACAGAATCCCAATGCCTATTTATGTCAATATCCCTAGGAATAGAGGTATGCATAGTACCATGCGGGCCGGAAAACCGTACCGAACTGGACCGGTTACGTACCAATTTGGTCTTCGGTATAAAGTATGAACATTTTGAAGTTTCCGGATCCAATCCAAATCCAGAATATTTAGATCCAGACCGGTGGATCATAGTTAGTTACCTATTATTGGAACGGAAGAGAGTGACACATCAATCAAGACAAAAACAACTTTTTTGATAAAGTAACGTCCAATCAAAAAACAAAGAACCAACCATACTAAAGTCAATCCCCTTTTACTCTAAACTCTCTCATTAAATTTACTTTTTACTTTCCATATAGGGCATGTCACAATAATAGTGAGACATTTAAAAATGGAAAATGGGACACTTATAGCAGAATGCGAGAGTAATATGTACACTAACAAATATTAAGAACAAATATAGATCTAGTTTTATTTGAACGATTATTCAAGAAAGATTTGTATTTAAATTAATTAATATGGAGTAGCAATCAATGTTTATTTTATTTATAAAAAGTTTTTCTTATCTAATCACCCAAAAATAATCCGACACTAGTCCGACCCAGTCAAACAGGGTATGATTCTGCATGGTCGGGCCCTGGACCGAATCTGGAATTATGTGTGTGTGTATATATATAAATATATATATATATATATATATATATATATATTTATATATATATATATATATATATATATATATATATATATATATATATTTATATATATATATATATATCCGGTCTTTGGTCTGGTACAATTTGGTCTGGGACCAGTGTTCATCCCTACCTAGTGCTCGTGACGCATAATTTAATTAAGTCTTATGTCAATTTCATCATTTTTTGATGTTGTGGAGCTTTGTTTGGATATATTGGAATTTGTTTCTAGGAGACGTTCTAATATTAAAATATCAAATTGTTGAATATAATAGAGAATCAATAATTCATTATGCTGCAAAATGACATAAACGTGATACAACAAATAATCATATAAAATACATTAGTGGAAGTTAATAATCAATAATTATTTTATAAACTTTTACCTTTTTTATCTATACCAAAATATACGTAGTAACATACTACGTAATAAATAATTTAAAACGAACGAATAACATAATTTAGGGGTGTTTTGATGTGATTCTTAAAACTGCTTTTGCTCGTTCAGAGAGCAGAATCAGAAGTCGGAGTATTTGGGTGAAAGTGCAGAAGTGATTCTGGTGCTCTAATTTACTCTTAGAATAAGTTTTTTAGAAGTTGGGGGGGACAACTTCTGAAAACTGATTATGATTATGTTTTTGTTTTTAAAAAAGAAGCAGAAGCAGAATCAGTTCTAAACACCCCTATATAAACACTAGCTATTTCGGTGACAAATGAAAGCATTCTTAGGCTATCAAATAGTTGATCACAACAACAAATTAATGCAATTTGAAAAATATAACAATTAGAGCCTGTTTGGTAGGATGAAAACCAACTGTTTTGGCTGGATTTGCTGGAATTTATGAAGTTCTGGCTGAAGTGGCTGCATTGGCTAATTCTGTTGATTTAAGATAAAAAATATTTTAAAATATGTTTTATAAATAAATAAAGAAAAAAATTATATGTAAAAATAGTTTAAATGATCATCTACAGTAACTCCAACCAATACAGCCAGAAAAGTAACTCCAATCTTACATTTTCTGCTAATTACACAATTCATCGCGCGAAAGCAAAAATTGTGTGTTTGATGAAAAAGCTGACTAACAAGCCTGATAAGTCGAAAAACAGTGTTGTAAACGGTCTCTAATTTGTAAACGATCCGATTCTAGTAATTCTTCATTTCGAAATCTAAAACCTTTCTCACACTTGAAACATTACGATTTCAATTCGATTTTTTCTTTATCATCAAAACAGGCCTCTATTCATAACAAAAGATTCAGGATCATTACATCAAGCAAAGAGAAAATAAAACTGATACCAACTGAAACTCCAACAACTACACTTTAACCCTATGGTGAGACTTTGAGACAGTCACCACTGAAAGAACAACACGAATCGCATACCTGATGACATAAAGAGAAGTTAAAAACTCAAACAAATTGTCAAAACCAATAACAAAGATGAACACAAGAAAACAAATGACAAACATGAAAAAATTACTAGGAAAACTTTCACAGACTCTAGCACCTCGTACAATCCATGGTGGTGGTTCAGGCGGAGGTCGGACCGTCGCTCGATTGATACCCTCTTTCAGTGGCGTACCCGTCGTATGACCCAAATCCATGCCATCGAATGAAGCGTTTAGCCTCTCCACGCTAACTATGTCCCGATCATCCCTATGTCTCTCTCTTGCTTCTTCCACCATCTTCTCGCAGCCACGATTATCCATCCTAAGCTACGTCCAAACCACGGCAATCCGGCGCAGTGCTGCGTTGATTAAAAGAAACGCCGCACCAGGGCGACGAAATAAAAACTCCACGCAAGAGATCTCGCTAGGAAAACACTGAGCAAACTTCGATCAAGAAAGATCAAAATCGGAAATAACCTAGCGGTGACTCTGCCCTGATTTCAATTCAAATTAGAAATCAAAATTTAGCATTTGAATACACCTATTAATTTAGGATGTTTTCTTTTGGACTGTTTTCAGTTTCAGACCAAACCAAATTTTCATAGTTATAAAATACACAGTGACCAGACGTTTACTAAATCAAACTAGACCAAACCAGATCAGACCACATCAGACTAAACGAGCAAATTTCAATCTAAAAAAACATCCTTGGATATTATTACAGGTTGATAAGTTGAATCGACCCTTCTCAGAGTTTTATGCTCATGAGTTCATTAATTTGAAGTTTTAAATGTAACCCGAAAAAACCACACCAGTTTGACGCCATATATGATACTCCATTCTCCGCCAACATTTGTTAATGGCCGCCACGAAATTTCCCTTGGCTGGTGACGCGGTGGCGAATATAAGCAGAATTGGCACCAGCAGTAGAGACTACTTGAACGACAACCACCACAACAACCCCCTCCCCACCTCGTCCGCCTCTCATTCTCATCATCAGATGGCCAGAAAGCGGCCGGCGTCGGAGATGGAGCTCCAGTTCGGTGCCGGGTTTTCCGAGAACAATAGGTTTTTCCGACGAACAACGCCGGCGGAGATGAACTTGCCAGTCCATGGAGATTTAAGGTTCCGCTCCAACAATTTCGGCGATGATAATAACGACGTCGCCGTCAACAACTTCTCCTCCATGCCTCCGCCTCCAACCGCCTCAGCCCATTTAGGCATGACGTCAGAGGCTACACAGTTAACATACATGGAGCCGTTACCACCGAATCAAAACCCCCAAATTCAAAACGAACAGCCGCAGCCTCCTCTCCCCATCTGCGGGTTCTCGGGTCTTCCCCTCTTCCCAGCCCCAACCCGGACCAGAAATGCTGCCGTGACGCTGCAATCGCCGCCTATGACGGCGAACTACGGCGGTGCCGGTTCTGCTGGGGTTAACACTTCCGGAGAAAGTCCGATGGCGTGGATCGACGGGATAATTAAGGATCTAATCCACAGCTCAACCCATGTGTCGATTCCTCAGCTGATACAGAACGTGAGAGAAATAATCCACCCCTGTAACCCTAACCTCGCCGTCCTCCTCGAATACCGCCTCCGTTCCCTCACCGATCCTCTCGCGAATAACGTGTATGAGGATTGGAGGAGAAAGGAAGGCCAAGACGCCGTTGGCCATCCCGTCCACATGCCGGAATCCATGAATATGAATATTCCGCACTGGGAGGTATCAGTTTCACTCCCTCCGGCCACCGCCCCTATTACAACTCCCCAGCACGCTCATCCGAACCTGCTCCAGCAACCGCAACCCTCACCTCCTCCGCCGCAGCAGATTATTCGCGACAATTCCTCCACGGTAGCGCCCAATCCGCCGTTTGTTCCGTCGGCTCCTCCGAGCTTGGATAATAGGCAACAGCAACAACAGAAAAATCCGGCAGGGAAGGAGCAGGAAAAGCAACCGGAATCGAAGTCTCTGACGGCGAACGAGAGCGCAGCCGCGGCAGCAGCGTTGATGAGGAGATCTGAAAAGGAGGAATTAGAACAGAAACGGAAGGACGAAGAAGGGCTCCACCTATTGACCTTACTGCTACAATGCGCCGAAGCGGTCGCCGCGGAAAACATGGAGGAAGCCAACGAAATGCTTCTCCAGGTCTCGGAACTATCAACGCCGTTCGGGACGTCGGCCCAGCGAGTAGCGGCGTACTTCTCCGAAGCCATGTCGGCGAGACTGGTGAACTCCTGCTTAGGAATCCACGCGTCGGCGCCGCTGAGCTCGTTGCCGGGAAGCGTGAGCCAGAAAATGGCCGCCGCCTTCCAAGTCTTCAACGGAATCAGCCCATTCGTGAAATTCTCGCATTTCACGGCCAACCAGGCGATTCAGGAAGCGTTCGAGAGTGAGGATAGAGTGCACATAATCGATCTCGATATCATGCAGGGTTTGCAATGGCCGGGGCTTTTCCACATCCTGGCGTGCCGACACGGCGGGCCGCCGCTGGTCCGCCTCACCGGGTTGGGGACTTCCATGGAAGCCCTTGAGGCTACCGGAAAAAGGTTGTCGGATTTCGCGCAGAAACTGGGGCTGCCATTTGAATTCTGCCCGGTAGCGGATAAGGTTGGGAACTTGGATCCGCAGAGGCTGAATGTCGGAAAGCGGGAGGCCGTCGCTGTTCATTGGTTACAGCACTCTCTGTATGACGTTACCGGCTCCGACGCCAATACACTGTGGCTCTTGCAAAGGTATTCAGCTTTTTACATCGATTTCCTAGTCTTTTTTCATCAAATTGTTTTACGGAGTAATATTTTCTTTCTTTATTCTTCTACAGTTCTACCAGATGTTTTGGGTACAGACTATACAAAAATTTAAATCGTCCGAAATAAGAATTAAATGTAATCAAATCAGCTCTAAACTATTTTAAAGATTTTTTTAAAAAAATTATAAGTAGTTTTTTGAGAAAAATAAATTGATTTGATTTTTAAAATATTATTTATAAATTTGATTTATAAATACTCCATAATACGGAGTAATACTCCATATTAAAAATTAGGTGTAAAAAAAACCTTTCATTTTAAAAATAGGACTATTATTTTTTGGAAAACATGGCACGATTATTATTGTTAGAATTTTGATGGACAAAAATATGACTCTCTTATCATGGACAGAAATATGAATAAATTTAAAAGGAATATACTAAAATATCCTTATATAAAAAGCAAACCAAACCCTACTTTTCTCATTTCAAACCAAACTAAAATATAAACTAGTATGCTGCTCCCCACACCACCGCCTCCCTCTCTTCGTGTTGGAATCATTGCTCGCCACACCGCCGCACCCTGTTGACGACAATCCATTACTGAAGGCGGGCGAATATGAAGCCCTAACAATGATGGCGGCGACAATGACATTAATCCTGGCTCTAATAGCATTAGATTGATGAGAATCGGCGTTGACGATTGTAGATCAACGATGGTGATGCCGTAGACTGATGATTGTTCTTTCAGCATCCTTTGCGATTTTGCCAGTGGAATATCTGCGACGGGGCAACGTTCGAGCACAAGAGCGTTTTGTTCTTGGTTGAACACGATGATGATAACCATCTCAATAGCTCTTTTTTAATGGTTCGGGGGAAGTCACTGAACACGAGTCGCTATGCACAAGTCACTGAACATGAGTCACTGGGGAGTTTGAGTGACTTGGGTCATTTTTACAATGGATCAGAGTAGGTTCCAGGGTAATGTTGTCCCTAACAAGATAGTCACTATTGACTAAATCGTTATTTAGGAATTCTGATATTTAAATTAGTAATCACCCGGTCACTAACAACGGTGGAGGTGTAGCCACAAAAGGAACCATATTATGATGGACCATCTCAAAGGATGATCGTGGCAGCGGTCATTGGAGTGGATAGAAGACATGAATTAATTATTAATTGGAAAAATGAAATAACACAATAATAAATGTTATACTCCCTTCGTCCCATTTTACCTGTCCTACTTTTCTTTTTGGGTTGTCCCAAAATAAGTATCTACTTTCCCTTTTTGGAACGAAATATGCGGCTTACATCATTTCACTTTATTATACTTAAATATCAACCACAACTTTTACTTTTTCAACTACTTCATTAATAGTTGTGCCAAGTCATATAAGACACATAAAATGAGACGAATGTAGTATTATCAGTATCAGGAAAAGTCAATATTGGCTAACTAAAATGGAACGAAGGGAGTAAATCATATTTTTAGAAAACTTAAAAAGAATCCGCATTGTCTTTTATATTTACTCCGTATTTTTGTAATATTAATAAAATGATTATTATTATTCCTCAAATGAGTAATTATTTTTTATTTCCTAGATTAGTGTCATTCTAGGAACATAGTGCCAATTATGATAGTAATAATCAAAATAAAAGTAGACAAAAATGTGAGCTTGGTAATTTTAGTGACTATAATTGTATTCAAATGTTACATTATAGTGATTATAAAACTTACACATAGTAATTTATAATTACTTTTTTGTCCATAAGTTTTTTATTAGTATTCCCTTTGTCCCATTTTACTTGTCCTACTTTCTTTTTTGGGTTATCCCAAAATAAGTGTCATACTCCCTCCGTTCCTAAAAATTCTTCCCGGTTTGAATTGGCACGCCTATTAAGAAAGTGGAATAAAGTGGAAATGTGTGGTTGTGGTTGTGTGAGAAAAAGGTAAAATGAATGTGAGCCACACAAATTGTCCAAAAAGGGAAAGTGGGAAGAATTTTTGGGAACGGCCCAAAAAGGAAAGTGAGAAGTATTTTTGGGAACGGAGGGAGTATTTCATCTTTTGGAAAGAAGTATGTGGTCTACATCATTTCACTTTATTACACTCAAATCTCGACCACAATTTTTACTTTTCAACAACTTTATTAATAATTGGGCCAAGTCAAAGTTAGACACATAAAATGGGACTGAGGTAGTAATATTTTAGGAAAAACACCTTATATAAACTTATTTTTCCTTTAAAGTTACCTTTAATAATCCAACTTGTTTTCAATTACTCCATTTGTTAACTTAACATGTGATATTAGAAAATTACTTTTGATACTCCACGCGTCCCTTAAAACTTTGCCAACTTTTCTTTTTTGTATGTCCCACTGACTTTGTCACTTTCCCTTTTAAGTAAAGAATTTGTAGTTCCAGTTATTGAGGCAAACTTTTAGCCAATAAGTTGAGAACCAATTAATGTACCAAATTAAAACGACAATTATTCGCAGTTTATCCTAAAAACGACACTTATTCTCTTGTCATAACTCATAAATGTAGTCATAACCGTAATGAATTGTTACTGTTGGGGGCAGTACAACATGTGATCGATCACATGAGCAGTTGAGAGTTATGGCTCATTTTGAAAGTATATGGTTGGTGTGTTGGATTTCCCTTCCTGCTTGTTTTTTAATCTGTGATACTGCCCATTTCCCTGCATTCGCCAGATGCGTGATTTTCTAGGTATGTACTATGTATACATACGTAGCATATACAAGTAGTATTATACTACTCTAGTGGTATTATTATACTACCTTCCTCCTTCCATTAATTTCGTATATGTACTTTGAGTCTTTGACACAAACACCGGAGGAGTGGAGGACCCTGAGTTCGGAGTTTTGTTAGGTGTACACAAAATGTGTACACCAAGCATTTTTTCGGAGGACTTTAGGGCCTAGGGTTACGGGGATAAGGTAATTTGACAGAAATACTTCTTTTTCCCGTACAAATCAATCTCGACAGTTTCTTCTGATACCTTTGTTTTAAAAAATGAAATTGTGCAATTTAAATGTATTTAAAAAGATATATGGAGTAATCATTATGAAACTTTTTGAAGTCTGATACAATATTAATATGGGGAATGAGAAATTTCTCTTGAACACCCGGATTTGAAATGAACAAAAAATGGAAACATTCAAATGTATGGAAAAAGAATTGAAATATATTTGAATTTATACGTGAAAACATGGAATCATCTGAATTTGAATCAATGGAATTGGAAACGTAATGAACTATAAATAATAGGGAAACATTCAAATATATTTCTTACTATTCTTTACAAAAAAAACATATTAAATGTAGTTTTTTGATCTTTATACTGATAAAGAAATATCAATACATTTTTGTAAGTTCAAATTACCGATATATATATATATCCTTGGTTTTAACTATAAATAAACATCAAAACTTTTTTTTAAATAGGAATGTGGTCTATGGGATTCCTATTCATACGGTCATACTAATGAAATGAGGAATAACCAAGGATCAGAACTTACAACGACCTTGTGGAGTTTACAATTAACTCTTATGTGTTGGGCTATTCTCTAGGCGACACAAGCATACAATCTATAACCGTTGGTTTAGGTGAGTAATTATGGTATGGCCTTTTTGTTACATTAGCCATACACTGTAACACAACCAAGCATTGAAAATGTAATACGGAGTGAAAAGATACCAAGCATGAGTAATTATAAAATCAAGCAATCTTTTATTATTTCCTGTTTTTTTTCAGAGAAGTAATTAAACTAGTTTCATGATCGTTAGTGGTTGAAAGAATTGAAAATAAAATTATCTTTTGTTTCGTAAAAATGTATGTTTGGATTATTGTTACAGATTGGCTCCAAAAGTGGTGACAGTAGTAGAGCAAGACCTGAGCCATGCAGGTTCATTTCTGGGCAGATTTGTGGAGGCAATCCACTACTACTCGGCGTTGTTTGACTCCCTGGGAGCGTGCTACGGTGAGGAGAGCGAGGAGCGGCACGTGGTGGAGCAGCAGCTTCTCTCCAAGGAGATCCGCAACGTGCTTGCGGTTGCGGGTCCGTCCCGGAGTGGTGAGGTCAAGTTCAACAACTGGAGAGAAAAACTTCAGCAGTCTGGCTTCCGGGGAGTGTCATTGGCCGGAAATGCTGCAGCTCAGGCCACGCTACTGCTCGGCATGTTCCACTCGGACGGGTACACGCTGGCCGAGGACAACGGAGCCCTCAAGCTTGGTTGGAAGGATCTCTGCTTGCTGACAGCTTCTGCATGGAGGCCTCCTCCACTCCAACCTCAATAATTAAAGAGCAAGGCTAGTTACACATTTTTTGGTACATGATTTCCATACATTCTTATATGGCATGAATGTGTTGAGTGATGAAAAATAAAGAAATTTTCATTATCTAATAGATGCATGCCACATAATAATTTATCAAAAGAATGTACCACAAAAATGTATACCACTATTTATGGATAACTAAACACTAAAAAATGAAATTTTTTCCATTTCCACGCAAGTGTGGTTTGTTTTCTCAATGATAGATACTTCCTATATGATTTTGTGTTTTGTTTTTCTTTATTTGTTATATTTTTCCAGCTTAGTGCTCTTGCTTAAACAAAATAAAGATAAAAAGGAATTTCCTTATGTTAACGCTTGCAATTTTACGCAAACCTATATAACTATATTCGTATATTGCATGGACACTATTCAAGTACATTTAGCGATTATGGGAGATTTGATATGTATGAAAATTTGCTCAAAAAATCACCAACAGGAAGAACATAAGAACCTATATTGTGTACATAATGGGATTCAAGTACGAACAAGAAACACTTTTCGCATAAAGGTTTCCAAATTCTATATGTTAACAAAAATTATAGGGAGAAAAAGTTTAAAGTGAAAAGGAAAGGAAAAGGCAATGGCAGAGGGAAAGTGAAAGCACTTGGCTCGTGAACCGGGACTTTTTTAGCTAGGTTGCTTGTGTTCAGTCAGTTGTTTTTGCTTGAATATTCACAAAACCAGACCAGTATAGTGGGTGGATCAACCCGGTCACCTAACCAGCCTCGTTTCCGTGTAACTTGGGAAAAGGCAAATCATTCTCCAGTAGGAAATTTGGAGAATGGGAAAAGGCAAATCATTAGGAGAACCAGTAGAGGCACTTTATTCAGTTTATTGTATGGTAACACTGTTCTGTTGACTATTGTAGTCCAACATTGACTTCAACATTTGCGGTTAATGGTCATACCGAGTACTCTATCATTTAGAGCCCGTTTGGTAGCACCAAAATCGTCTGTTTTGGCTGATTCTGCTGAAATTTATGATATTCTGGCTGGAGTGGTTGTTTTGGCTGATTCTGTTGATTTAAGAAAAAAAAATTTAAAAATATATTTTATTAATAAATTAAAGAAAAAATTATATGTAAAAATAGTTAAAATGGTCCTCTACAGTAACTTCAGCCAATACAGCCAGAAAAGTAACTCCAACCTTGCTTTTTCGGCTTATTACACAATTCAGCGCGCGAAAGTAAAAGTTACGTGTTTGGTGAAAAAGCTGGCTGATAAGCCTGATAAGCCGAAAATAGAGTTCTCCAAACGGGCTCTTAGTGTCACTCTATAATGCTATATTGCATGAATACCGATAATCGGATTCGTGAACAAACATACGAGAATACTGAATACGTACGGCAATTTTGAAAATCATACAATATATTTACGGGGTATATTTATAGATAATATATGTATAGAGTATAATTTGCTAATATTTATAATCCAGAGGTTCATAATAAAATAATAATAACAAATATTAACAATCATTATAGCATTTCAAAGATTAGATTAAAAAATAAAACTAAAGTACTGATATAGTGATACTTCAATTTAAATTCAAATAACATCTAATTCGCTATTAACATTTACATCTAAGTCTTTTAACACGACTGACTCCATTTAGGCTCATCAAGTGTGAGACTGACAAATTCAAGTATTCCAATACCTTTCAAATTTTTGAAATCGTCTCCATCAATGTATCACATTCACATTTTATGTTTCTCACTTACGTATTAAACACAATTGATTTAGAAGTGAAGTAAATTGAAACTTATTAAGTGTACGAGAGAAGAAAAAGACATGTTATGACCTTACTCGATAAGAGATGAAGTTTAGTAATGAGGATTGATGAATCAGAAGTGATGAGTTGCGGTCGCCTGGGCGGCTACTCTATTCACATCAGGCCGTGTATGAATTCAATGTTATAGAGTAGATACACATATCCGTCCAGAATACGTGTATTGGAAGTGTTTATAATTTTAAAAATAAGTCCAATACTTTTACTAAATTACGTGTACATACCCAATATATACATGACGTGTATCATCAAGTTTCGGTCAGGTACGTATCGAATATGCGGATAGGTATCGAATGTGGCGACAGTCACTAGATTCCGCTTAATTATGATGTCCTTTGTATTATTTGTAAAATAACATTAATTCTTTACTTATGTATGTGTAGATAGTAAATTATATACCCACCACCCCCAATCCCTCATTCAGGTTTATATATTGTAAAAGACTCATTTTTGATAATATATTCTCTCACATTAATCTTTTTTCTTCTTAAAATCTGGTTAAGCCTCTTTAACAAGTCATTACATACTATTCTCGATTCACAATGGACTATGATGGTATGAGATAAAGATAAAATTATAATGGTGAGTAAACGGACTACTTTTTTTGGCCTTACACCTAAATTGTTTCTCAAGAAAACTGAGCCTCTATAAAAACTGAGTTTTAGAAAGCAGGCTACATGATAAAATTGAGCCTCTATAAAAATTGATAAAATCTTAATCTAATGAATGTGGCCGGCCAACACATTCCTATAACCATCACTAGTTTCTGGCCACCCTCAATAGATTTTGGCCATCTTCACTCGTAACTTTTTCAAATCCGCTGACCATGATTTTGCAATGTCACCCTCATATATTCATGTTGATGTTGTTAAGTGTAATCTATGCCGAAATAGATGGAACTGTTTTGAAGATAGATGGGTACAAAAAGGTGCTCCCATAGACAGCCTTATTCCTTGTTAATGAAGGTAGTGTTCTGTATGAAGTAGAAAGAGTAAGGCTGTGTATGGACTTTGGACTTTGCGTCTGATGTCGATATTGCAACTTTGCAAGGTTTGAGTGTGGGTATGTATGTCAGTACTTTAAAGTAAATAATACAAAGAATGATATATGTTGAGGAAAAATTTATGGTGTGCAATCCTGATAAATATCTCTGTATTTATGGTGTCGATCAACATTTGAGATCAAACAGTTTGGATTAGTGTATTTGGGAATTTTGAGATTTCGATATTGTGAAGAAGACGAGTTTCTCGATGTTGAAGTTTTCGAACTACAGGTTTCTCGATAGGCTTTGTCACAGGTGAACATCAAAAACGTTATCTCGAACTCCAGGTTTCTTGAAGTGCAGGTTGAACCCCGAAAAGGATTTTCTCAAGAACAGGTTTCTCGAGTGAACCGGTATCGAAAAGAACTTCTCGAGCTCCAAATATCGAAAAGAATTTTTCGAGCTTCAGGTGCGAAAAGTTCAATCTTCTCGAAGGCAGGATTTCGACATCTGAGTTCTCGATATTCGCTTCTCGATATACAGTTCTCGCAGGCTAGCATCGAAAACAACGGTTCTCGAGGTTCAGGCTTTCTCGAGGTCCTATATCGAACTCCAACTAATATCCTAACAAAGCAGATTAAAAAAAAGGAAAGAGGGGCAAAACTGACTTTTGAGACCCGCTGAATTTTCCGGCTATCGTGTCCGCAGGTCGCCCGCGCAGGGGGGTGCGAATTTTCGCTTTTGAACTGAAAGCCGGAATTCTTGTGTGCGCGAGAGCTCCCCTCTTCTCCTTCACCTTTTAATATTAAGAGAGGAGTGGTTCATATATATAGGCTTCAAACTTTCCAAGGAGTTTAGGTGTGGGAAAGTTAAACAAGCTCACTTTCCACCTTTGCTTGAAAGTGTACACTTTTCCATCCTTTTTTTCAAGAGTTGATTTGAGCCACTTCAAAGTCCAAAACTCCAACACCAAAGGTGAACCTTACAACCCAAGCTTCCAAGAGTCAACCTTGAGTTAAAAAAAAAAAAAAAAAAAACTCAAGGTTAAGACTATTTTTCTCAAGACCAAGCTACACTTCAAGGTTCAGAAAATTGCAGAAACTTCAATCAACCTCACGTCTACGGTCAATATTCAACAATCAACAATGGATGCCTCTAGCTCATCATCATTGTGTAAGAACAAATGCGCTGAAATTTCTCACAAGCTTGAGACAAGCAAATCTGACAGTCAACAAATTATCAAGGAATTGGAAGAGAGATTAGCAAACAATCACAAAGTCTTGCTGAAGCATCTGTATAACAATGCCACACTCAACCTACAATTGGAAAATTCCAAGGAAAAGGTCAAGAAATTGACCCTGGAGACAGAAAAGCTAGGAAAAACAGTCACTGACCTAACTACGAGTTTGCGTGAAACTAAGAGAGAGCTTAGCGAACAGCGTTGTTTAAAAGATGTTCTTCATGAACAAAGAAGTGCGCTTTACAGAAAAATCAAAGAACTTGAGGACTTAATTGCAAAAAGAGGTCAAACTGAGCAAACCATTTTTCTAAATCAACCCAAGGACACTCGTTTCTATAATTCCAAGGAAGGACTTGGTCTGTCTAACCCATGCAACTTGAAGAAAGTTAAATGTCGTCAACTTTATGACATCAGTTACATGGGTTTCAGATTAACCAAGTTAATGTCCTTTACGGGAGCAAAAGAAACCGAGGAACTTGAGGATGATAAAAGAAAGAATAAAGCAAAAGCAGAAGTCCCTTTTGATTACTCAGCACTTAACAAGAGTTACAACACAAAAGAACCATCTTTTTTATCAGATGAAGACTTGACCTTTTATCCTCCCGAGAAGGAATCTGTGCCAGACTCTGAAACTTCTTCTACCTCACAGTCTACAAATGATGACGTTTACATTCCCCCTTTGATAAAAAAGATTGCAGATTTGCACACTTCTTTAGAAAATGAAAAGAAAATTTTTGAATCTGAAAGGGAAAGACTGTTGAGTGAAATCACCATTCTTAAAGAAAAATCCCAGTCCAGCACAACTTCCTCCTCATCAGACAATACTTGTTCTGAAAAGATTTCTAATAATCAAAGTCATTGTTCTGAAAAGGCGTTCGCTCACTCCGAGTCTCATATCAAAGAAGGAAACAATATAAGTGAGAGACCGGAGAGGAGAATGGAGTGGATACAAGAGAGGAGAAAAAGGCAAACAGAAAAACAAAAGACATTTTCAAAAACGAAGAAGACTTGCTCTAGTGCTTTATTTTATTAGAAGAACAAATGTAGCTCTGTCTCAAGTAAACAATCTCGCAGTTATGCTCTAGACTTTTCCTCTAAGCTTAATGTTACTAAGGCATCTTCCGAACATTATTCTTCCGCATATCATGATGGTGCTTCAGACTCAAGAGGTAGTGTTTCTAATTCTGATTTCTTCTCCGATGATTCTAATGTGAATGATGTTGTTCACAACTGTCAAAAGAAGCCAAAATCTGACAAAGCGACTCTTGAGGACGTGTACACATTGCCATTTTTAAAGTATCCCCTCAAAGTCCGCTCACTTAAACATTTGAAAAGGCTT